GAATGAAAGAAGAAGGGTGTTACCTAGCCAGGGCAAAGTGGTATAAAAAGGGGTTGGTAATTGCAGGAGTGAGATAAAATTGGGAACTGAGAATTCAGCAGGAGAAATCTGAAGAGACGAAGAAGAGAAAACATCCCAAGAACATGGAGAGAAACATAAACCCCTCCTGACAGCAAGAATATTAGTATGATGTCCTGGGCATTCAGAGCAAATGGAATGGGGGTTGAGCATTTCTAGTTTAGTATAAATAGAAAGAGTGAGCCCAGAAAGCTGGAGAACTTGGGACAGGGGCAGATACTTAATTTACAAAAAGAATAAAATGATATTAAATGTACTCAGGGAAACCAGCATTTCTATTCCCCGTGTGAGTATCAGTGTTCAGGATGGGTTATGGAAGGGCTCAGCACCACATTTCTGCGGAGGATGATAGATTTTGCTGCTCTTTCCATGAGAGTCTTATTGCCAGAAAGGAGACTATTGGCCGTGTCATCTAACTGATCACCATAATAATGAGCATGTATTGAGAAAAGGCAGTGTGCTCTGTACCATTCAAGAAAGCTGGAAGAGGGCCCTGTCTGATCAGGACCATCTAACTGGATGAGACAGGGGAGGAACAAGGGACAGGGATGACAGGAAAACTAGTACTTAGTGCTAACATTCATGGAGCACTGTGCCCAACCCTTGACATGACTTACCTCATTACCCCCCTGCGTGGATCTCCATGGTAAAAATAGTTGTTATCATCATTTTATGGTTGAGGAAACCACAGTTTACAGAGAGGTAAAATGCCTGACACCACACAGCTGGGACTTGAATGTAGGTTTGTCTGATCCGAGGAGTTAGGTAAAGCCCAGGTACCTAACTCCTTGGCAATGCCATGGTGACCACTGGCCTTCATATGGCTGAGATTATCGGACTCATGTCTCTGTGGAAATACTGATGCCAAACCCACAAAGGCACTGCTCTGAGAACAAAGGCTGGTCTCTTAAATTATAAATGTACCATCAAAATCAACTTCACAGTGCTAGAGCTGGACCATTGTCAGACGGCCTGAGCACACGTGGGCATTTCCTCATAGCTCTTCCCAGCCACATGCACAGTTCTGGGATTGGGCTTCCACACTGCCTGGGCACCCAGACTTGGGTTTCAGCATGAGTATTTGGGTGAACTGGGTTGGGATTTCTTTTCCTACTCCAACCTTCTGTGTTCCCCACACAACTTAAGTTGACCACCTACACCTCCAACCTCCCAGCCCATGTGCGGGGATGGACTAAACTCACTATGTTAAGAAAAAGGAGAGAGAGCCTAGAAACACAGGCATTCAGGGACAGAAACTCCCTTGTTTTCTGGTGCAGCTAACCACTGAAATTTCCTCTTCAACATCTCCATCACCAAGAGGTCTATCTGTATCTTCTGTTGTTGTTTTTTTAATTTTATTTTTACTTAAAAAAAATCTTAAATGACTCTTATTAAATTTTATATTTATCAAAGTAATCCACGCATCCAGTTAAAACAGAAATGAAATAATACTGATAAATTTCATGAAAAATAACAATCCCCTATCCCACAGCTGCACACTCCCCAAAGGAACTCCTCTTATCCCTTTCAGCAGTTTCTTCCGGTAGTCATCTTTATTTTGGTAAATATGTTAATATTACATATTTCATTATTTCTCCATTTTAAACATTAACCCTTGAGTTTTTATAATTTTGGATGAGAACTTAGTGCTCTTATAAACCCTCTAGGTTCTCCCAACACCTTTATCATGGGTTATAGCTAAAAAAAAAATTGTGAATATATAAATTCTGACTCTATGCATTAAAATTTTTCAAACATTCCACCAGATCTGACATTGTTATATTCTATTGAGCCCCCCCACCCCTACTTCCTTCCTCCTGAAGACCATCTTCCCAGAACTCTTCATCCTTTCACTACAATGTGGACAGTGTGTGTTCCTGCTGTCGTCCTAAGACTTCCCTCTGTTCTTCTCCTGATTCTTATGTCTTTTTTTCCTCTTTCTTTGTATTCTGTCCTTGTTTGGTTGCAGAACATCCTGCAGTTGCTTAGTAGAGCCTCACAAAGGAGAGCATGTGTGCAGTCCTGCAGCTTTAACAAAAACACCTCCAGTGACAGGGAACCAACTCATCCTCCATCACAGTGACATTCGGGCTATTCCATATAAAGGCTAAAATGTTTTTATTCATTCATAATAACAAAGCATTTTTTAACCATCTGTCACCCAGACATTTGTCCCCATGTGTTCTCAAGTTTTCTAGTCTTCATTGTCAATTTCTCACATAATATCTAAATTGGAAGACAGCAACTCCCACCTGGCATACTGTGACAAGCTCAGTAACTTCCTTGGCCACTGGTATCCTTGAAGTCAGGCTCTGTCTCAGCCTAACACCATGTCAGCCTTGATAATGAACTTTGGCCTCTCTGCTGGCTACTCTGTCCCCTCTCCTGAGGCCAACTTGGGAAGAGCAGATCAGTGTGTCACTTACCTTCCTCCTAGGAATTGGTGGACTTGGAATTAATCTCAACATGCCAGTTCAGTAGCTCTCTGAAGTAGAAATCTCTCCACTGATGAAAAATTCCCATGCCTCCTCCTGTTCTAGTCTCTTGGGTACTTGGGTTTTCATTTCCTCCAAAGCTCGGCAGCCTAAAATAAAAGTCTATCCTCTACCCAGACCAGTTGTCATGGGCCTCCATTGCCATCTTGCTCCTGAGCCCCAGTTCCCTTCGTTTCCTTCCTCATACTTAGATGGAGTCCTTGAATGAACCAATCATGCCCTGTATTCCTGTCATGTCCATCTTATCGTATCCTCTTCCTATCCTATCCTTATTCCTATCCTCTTCCCATAGGCTAAATTTCTCTTAGTTCTTGCCTCACACCTTTGAACCAAACAGGATCTGTGACCTGCTTCTCTTTGGACATGATGTCTGGCCCCATCTTTGAGATTTCTTCTTCTACTTCTATTTGTTCCAAGCTCCTACCAATCCTTCCTTGCCCTCAGCCAGGGCCAAGTGGTGGAATACTTTAAGCTCCCTTCTAAAAACCAGCTGCAGACTTGATTGTCCTTTCTGAAACTCCTGAGAAAAAAGTCAAAAAGTTACTCATGTTAAATCTTATAGACTTTCAGTAAAACTTGTTTAGAATATGGGCAGAATATGTAGCAGTTCATGTGGTATAGTTTTAGGGCTCTTTAGAGAAGAGCCCTGCCCAAAGAAATGTCACCCACTCAGTATTCACAATGCTCCAAACAACAACATTAAACCAGGCAGTGGTTCTCAACCCTGGCTAAAATTCTGAATCTCCTGGGGAGGTTTTATCAAAGCTAATGCCCAGCTCCACACCCTGGAGATGCAGATTTATGAGTCATGATGAGGTCCAGGCAACACCAGAAAGATTTCCAGGTGATTCTAATGCACAGTGAGGGCTGTGAACCACTGCACTAAAGGACAAGAGTAAGGCTTACAATATCAATCTCTCTTGAAGAGAACAAACACCTGACAGAGATATTAAAATACCAGTGTCTGATGTGTGCTCTCGCTCAAGGCAGGAAGTGTGCAGAGGAAAACAGAATAGAAAGCATCACCAAGAATAAAGTTGGCCAAGGATGGGTCCTGGTCTCCACATAGAAGTTAAACATACTTTCTTAACCATTATAACTTGTATGACCTCTGCCTATGGCTTATTAGGCCTTCAGTAGTAAGGCCAAGGGAGAGGAGAATGAGTTGGGACTGGGAAAGGGGTAAACATAGTCCTAGGGATACACCTTGAGGAAAAGAGGACCTGGCCAGGAGCTTGAATATAACAACCTGAGTGTAACAACTTGTGTATAATTGGGACTTGTTTTGTTAACCATAGCGTCCAGTTTGCAGGTGATAAGCTTTGCTCATGATGGGAATAGAGGGGGAGGTATTGATTCATTTTTCCAGGGAATAGGATATATATATATTTTTTTGCTGTACATGGGCCTCTCACTGTTGTGGCCTCTCCCGTTGCGGAGCACAGGCTCCGGACTCGCAGGCTCAGTGGCCATGGCTCACGGGCCCAGCCGCTCCGCGGCATGTGGGATCTTCCCGGACCAGGGCATGAACCCGTGTCCCCTGCATTGGCAGGCGGACTCTCAACCACTGCGCCACCAGGGAAGCCCAAGAATAGGATATTTTTGAAGCAGGATAGTGACATTGATTGAGAAGATGAGGCAGAGGTTTTCCCTTGTCCTGTCCTGGCCCCTTGGATGGCAAGGGCTAAGTAGATTCTCAGGGCTCTAGCCAAGTAGACTGGGGTTTGGAGATGGTACCGTCCCAGCCTGGAAGTGGAGTGCAAATGGGGCAGCCTCTCTGTTGTCATGGACAGGGCAAACCTAGGAAGAGGAAGGATGGTTTGGAGAAAATGAATGATAGGACTTGGTATGGTAAGACAAACCCAAGGAATATTTTTACAAACACCTCTTTATTTAAAACTTTTTGTGTATATGGAGTAGTTATTTTTCTCCACAGTTTAAAGTTATAGTAGTTCCTGTGGTTAAGATATTTCTGCTTTATGTCTCAGTTTCCTCTGCATAAAATGAAGACATTTTTAGATAATCTCTAAGGGCTCCTTCACGTAGAGCCCTCTGAGTCTGAATATTAGCAAAACAAAAGCATGGAAAAGGTTACAGTCACGATCATTCCTGGCTGTTCACAGGTTTTTCCCATTCAGCTAGAATATTAGCCATTCTTAAGGGCTTCTTGCCAGTCTTTTCTTAAACCACATATTGAAATTAAAATACACATAGTATACATTTTGCTGGAGAGGGATCAAGGACTTTGGCTTTCTAATTCAGGAGACAAAGCTAAGCAATCAAAGGTCAATGAATCATAATTAATTGCAGAAAAGACAGGAATTCTAAGTAGCAAAGGTGATCTTGCTCTCTTCCGGACAAGAGCCACAGGAGTGCTAGGAAGCGAGGTAGGTGAGAAAGAGGGGGGAAACCAATTTCAGAGGAAAGACTTTTAAAAGTGAAGGTGTGCTGAGCCGTCAAGAAAGGGCAGAGTGAAAACACCGCTTTTGGGTGAAGCGGCAGCGTGTTGTGTTGTTTTGCTTCAATCGGTGGTGTGACAAGGTAAAAAAAAAAAAAAAAAAAAAGTGAAGGTGTGGGGACAGTTAGCTGAAAATAAACACACAAAGGAGGAAAACAGCACAGTGATTCCTTAATATACAGAAATGAGCCAATTAAGGGACTATATCTATCTTCTCTCTTTGATGCCTTTGAGGATCTTAAAGTCTGAATGGCAACTAGTAATACTCTTAGGGGGATGGGGCAGAACACAAATCATACTTTTCTGTTTCATCTCCAATACTTTTGTAGAGAATGGAATCATGTTAAAGGGAACAATAAAGACTAAAGGAGTCACAAGGGGTGGCAGACCTAAGAAATATGAGACCACTGGGCCGTGAGAATCTTACAATCCCAGACCGTGATATTGACATACCCAACACTTCAGTGGGCCCAGTCCATTGCCAGTAGACACTCCACAAATGAATGAGTAATTAATCCCATGAAATTTGTCCTAGAGAGGGTGAGGAAAAGAGAAAATTTGGCTATAATTATATGAATGATAATATGAATGAGCTAGATTTTGGAACATGCTGGAAGGACAATTTCCATGTTAGACATATACGTTCGTGGGTTACCATCCACCAATCAGCAGTATGGGATAGAAAGCTAAGGTGGAGAGAGCAGTGGAGCAAAGCCTGTGGCTTGATGACTGTGACAGTCCCTCATTCCCTCATCATTGGTATTCACTGGCTGCTTTCCCAAAGCGATCTGTCAAGCAAATTAGACTTCAGGAGAAATTCAATAATGCTAAATATTCAGTAGAATATTTGTCTTAAGCCTAAACCAAGACCCCCAGAAATTTAAAATCTCCTTCCAGATGGACCCATAGTTGTAAGACTTCCCAGGATAAGTGGAGTTACTAGTCTGTCCTAGGGAACGCATTATTATACTCATGGAAGCGTAACAGTCACCTGTTGCTGTGCTGTTTTCCTCCTTTGTGTGTTTATTTCCAGCCCCACCTTCAATAGATAAAGAAATAAGCCTAAACCAGGACACTGAAGACAGGAATCTCGCTGCTTATTACCTGAGTATCTTTTGGCAAATCTGCAAACATCTCCAAGTTTTCTGATTTGTAAAACAAGGATAACAACTACCTCAACTCATTATTGTGGGAAACAAAATATCTTAAAACCCAGCAAAGTTATCATAACAATTAGAATATAATCCTAGCACAGTAGCCTGAAAGACTCTTTTTGATCTAGCCCCTGTGTATCTGGTCAATATCTTTTATTTCTCTCCCCTTACTCCTTAAGTTGCAATGTGGACCTTCTCTCTCTATTGCTCAATATCTCTCCCACATCAGGGCTACAGTAATCTTCTCCTTGACATTCCCTGCTTGTTCCTTGCCATCCAGGCCTCAGCTCGTATGACATCTTTTTCAAAGACATTTCCTCCATCCACGCTATTAAATTTTTCACATGTATACAGTCCATTCCCACCATCAACCGGTCATGGTCTATCACATTATTCTGTTCCATTTTCTTGATAGCAGCGATCACCATTTGGATTTATTTTGCTGATCTGTTTGCTTACTTGTTCATTGGTTGTCTCCCTCCAATCAATAATATAAACACTAATAGAGCAGGGACCTCATACTGCTTGTACTTGGAATTATGTCCGGCAAGCACATAGTAGATGAAAATAAATATTTGAGTTAAAGTAGTAGATTCAATAAATGTTTGAGTTGAAATATTTTAATGAAAAAGATTCATAAACTGTGAAGCACTATGTACATGGAAGTTAGCATTTACTTCTGTTGAGAGGGTACTAGAGGGAAAGAGCAGAGGATAAGGAATACTAGATTTTCATTTTGTATTGCCTGCTTTTCAGTTGTCTGGAGTAGGGCAAATCACTCTTTGCTTCTCTGTACATTGGTTTTCTCGTCTGTAAAAGGAGTAAAATGGTACCTACCTTGTAGATTGTTTTGAGACTTAGATCTAATGTTGACAAAATCACTGTGCACACGTACGTCGCTCATGTAAGTTTTTGTCATTCTCCAATATATGATCCATTCTCCAACATAAGAATGAGGAATTCCTTAAAAATCTTTTTTTTTAATTTCAAGAAAGCAAGACTTTTGGGGGCCATTAGGGCAAAATCATGGAGGGAGTTTATTTTATCCAAACTCTTTCCCAAAGCATCAAAATCCTGTGATCCATGCCTTTGTTTCCATAAGTATATTTGCATGTCCTAATTAGAACTTTTGGCAAGAATCCAAGGAAAGGAATTTAGGATTTTGCCCTCAGGAAGAAGATAATTCTCTCCAAAACAGTCACCCCATTTTCATGCTGCAGAAAAGAGGTGGTGAAGGCATCAACGTTACTTACAGAAATGAGACTAAGCAGTCGGATTAACATCAATTTACCAACGAAGCAGGATAACCCATTTCAAGTAAAGCACATTATAGTTTATTTAGCAACAGTTCCTTGCCTCTTCCAGCTCTGTGTAATGACAGCTATTCTAATGCTTTCACAGAGAAGACTGTCTGAAAAGAAGGAAGACGATGAGTGTGTCCACACTTGGTCCGAGTCTACCCATGCACTTCTCTGCTGAGGTCCAGAGGTTCCTCAGGGATGGTACACATCCAATCCAAACCTTCAGCTCCACCATTTGACTCTAGAGAAAACTTAGGGCTTGATGGATTCACGACCTTCCAGTCCAAGGCTTGGAATCAGAAAGTCTGGGCTCGGGGAGTGAGTCTGCCATTTATGATTCGTGTAGGACCTTAGGCTAACAATTTACATCTTCTTGGGCTTTAACTCCTCTGCTGCAAAATGGACAAAAAATTGATATCTCCTTCATGGGATTGTTGGGGGGATTAAATAAGACCCTACGTGAAGAAAACCCTTTGTAAAGGGCAAAGTGCTATATAAACATCCCACATTTTAAATCCTGTCCTCCTCTGGCTCTGAACCTTCTGACACAGGAATTATAAAAGTACTCCTTCTTGGTAGAAAATTTGCAACACTCAAGGTCCCGAGTGCTCACAGGGAAGGTACATACCTGGTACAGGTGCAGCTTTTTTCCTTCCTGTGCCCTCAGCTGGCATTGTTAATGTATAACAACACTTTTTCCTACTGAGTCTGGACCCAATCTCAAAATCCTCACTAGAACTTTCCAGCAACTACCATCAATTGATGGAGGTGGCATGGGAAATAAAGATGACTGGCCATCCCTATGACGTGTGGCCAAAGTGTCTCACACTCTCTCATCTATTGCCCAGATTGAGGATACCCAGGGGATGTCACACAAATGTATATAATGTTGACATCCCAGCGTGACACACCCTCAGTCAACACACACATAAACAGAGCAGCGCTGGCTCAAGCGTGTGTTTGTTATGTCTGAGTTAATTTCCTAGTGGAAGAAAAAATCAAATCTTCAGGGAAATGTTGGCAACAGTACAATTTATGATAAATCAAATTGCCTGAAGAGATGTGTAAAAGGGTTTTGGAGAGAACAAAGGCTCTGGGACTGAGCAGCAAATGTCAAGTTAGCTACATAACTTGTGGGAGTGTGTATACCGTGTAACTGGATCAATCTCTTAATTGCTCTAAGTTTCCCTATCAAATAGGATAATTAGAAAACATTTTGATTCTCGGTTGAATCAATTCTTTCCTTAGGCTTTGAGAAGAAGAGTGTCTTATACTCAGATGTTAATATTAAAATTGCTGTCACTTTAGTTCTGGAAGGAACCGAGCATTTGTGAAAGTGATCAGAGGTCCTTCTATGACAATCCAGATATCAGACGTCGTCCTGAATGAATAGAAGTTGATCTGTGCCTGTCAAGCATCCCAGCTTGCAAATGGAAAACTCTTTCTTTTACTCAGTCCTGGTGTGACTTTGCCTGGCATGAGGTGATCCACTCTATTACTTTTTTTTTTTTTTGCGGTACACGGGCCTCTCACTGTTGTGGCCTCTCCCGTTGCGAAGCACAGGCTCCGGACGCGCAGGCTCAGCGGCCATGGCTCACGGGCCCAGCCGTTCCGCGGCATGTGGGATCTTCCCAGACCGGGGCACGAACCCGTGTCCCCTGCATCGGCAGGCGGACTCTCAACCACTGCGCCGCCAGGGAAGCCCCCACTCCATTACTTTTTACCAAGGTCAAGCTACCTCACATTTCATGGGAAACTGCACTTGCCCATTACCCAAGCTAGATGAAGGGAACAGCTCTTTGCTTTGTGTCATTAGGGATATGACCAAAGAAAGACTTATGTATAAACACATTTTCTTAATTAAAATAATAAATGTGTTTTATATGCAGAAATAACCAAAGTCTGATTTTCAGAGGCAATTTACAATTTTCATGTTAATAAATATTTCTTTAAGTCCTAGAAGCTAAAAAGCTCATAATAATGCGAAGAACAAAAGCGGCAAAAATTCTTTTTCTGAGCCTAGAGATTGTTACTTCTATTTGCTTTAAGGCTCTGGCATTAGGGTCCAATTCAAGAAACATATATTAAGAAAAATGGATCTTTAATTTGGAAAAGGGAGATTATAGCTCCTCTTATTCCCTGCTGACCCTTTTTTTAAGCCATTTTTTTTTTGTTTTTGTTTTGTTTGCAGTACGCGGGCCTCTCACTGTTGTGGCCTCTCCCGTTGCGGAGCACAGGCTCCGAACGCGCAGGCTCAGCAGCCATGGCTCACGGGCCCAGCTGTTACGCGGCATGTGGGATCTTCCTGGACCGGGGCACAAACCCGTGTCCCCTGCATCGGCAGGTGGACTCTCAACCACTGAGCCATCAGGGAAGCCCTAAGCCATTTTTTAATTTTAGTGTTGAATGGTTAACAATTCCCTTGGAGTTTATAAAGCACTTTTTCAGATTGTGTATCTCACTTGATTCTCACATTACAGTTTTAGCAATATCAACACGAACTTTCAGAGGGAATGTGGAGACTCGTAGGTTAAGCCATGTAGCCAAGGTCACATAGCTGCAAAGTGCAAAAAATACGACTTGAATCCATATAAGCTGATTCCTAGAATGGTCTTCTTTACTGCCACAT